GACAGCCCATGCCCTCACCATCTTCCAACAGAAGTTTATGTACTTCGTGTCGCACGTTGACCTCATGGACCACCTCTTTGAGTCGACGTTCACCTCACTGGCTGCCACAGGCAAGCTCATGTCTAGATGCGGTAAATGCAGAACGTAAGTCGCGGCGGTAGGGCGGTTTAGTGACAGTTATGTACAGGTATATGAACTTGATAGACAAGAAACCGGTTCGGCTCTTCTGTCGACATTGTGATGAGACGTATGCTCTGCCTCAAACCGGGAGTAGCGTCAAGCTTTACAAGGTGGGGACTGATGCTGGTGATGCTGGTCATGTGGTGTCTACCATCAGGAGCTCACTTGCCCTCTCGACAACTTCCAGTTGGTCATGATATCATATCCAGCTACAGCTGGCGGTGGACGGAAACAGTATCCTCTTTGTCCGATGTGAGTTAACTCCTCATCATCATTGCCCTTCCAGTGACGATTTCCCCTCAGGTGCTACAACGACCCGCCGTTCCCCGAATCCAAGCCGAAGAGTTCGTGTTGGGAGTGCCTCCATCCTACTTGTAAACATGCCTTAGCTTCTGTCGGGGTACGCATCATCATAATCTGCAAGTTCTGCTACGGGAAATCTCGACAGGTATGCGGATGCCCGCAAGATAGCTGCAGTGGAACTCTCTGTCTCGATGCTGAGAGTAAACCGAAGTGGAAATTAGACTGCAACACGTGTAACTACCAGCTTAGACTATTCCAAGATAAAGCCCATAAGATTACCGTTACCAAGGACAAGTGTACGTCAACAGCGCTGGCTCGCCTAGTGGTGACGTGTTCTGGGCAGGTGAGAATTGCGGGAGCAAGCTGTTGGATGTCGAGTTCAGCAAAGGGAAGTCTTCACTTTCTAACGGAGCCGAGAGTAAGGCACTCAGTTGGTTGGTGGGTCTATGAAATGCTCAGGTGTAGTGGGTTGTCTAGTGTGTGATGATGCGCTCAATTCCCAAGTCGAATGTTCCTTCGCTCGCTTAAGCAAACGCCACGGTGGAGGCAAGGGTAAGGGAGGCCGGCGAGGGAAGGGCCGGGGCGGAAAGCGAGCAAATGTCGACGTACGGATGACTTTCGATGGTTTCTAATTACGAACATGTCTAGTTGTCAGTATGATGATTCATGTGTTGATAAACCAAATCCTGCTATCAATTGTATTGCTTGGTGATGCCTTATAAATTATAAGGAATAATGTCTCACAGTGAACCTCTGAAAATGTGATTCTGAATAGAGGTCGATGACTCGGATCTCCCACTACTCGATTCGATTGATTATCTGGAGGCCTATTCTATTCGATACGTTACTATATGTTCCGTAATCGCCTATTGACAGCGGCATACAGGGATGGGCGCGCGCATGTTGCTGGGCAAAATCAAAACTGCTGACTCATCAAGTCGACCTCTCCCCCCCATCCCCATTCTAATGCTGGACCAAGGCATGAACTTTCACAATTTGCTTGGGTCCGACTAACATTGTAAAGGGGGTGGGCTAACTGCGGACAGTAGTGCATTAGAAAAGTCAGCCAACCACACTGCTCTTGGTGCCTAGACTATGTGTGCTGTCTGTCAATGGTTTACACTTGTCGACGATTACATTTGTTCATGGTGTGATGTAGTCAACTCTTTAACGATGGAGAGCACCTTGACCGGTTCCCGCACTCGATCCCTCTCGGATCCCGACCTTCCTCAGCTCCTGCCAGTACCGTCCAGGCCACATTCCAGCTACGAACCAAAAGTCGTATCAGAATCGTACACTCAGTTCGAACCAGACCTCGTTGAGGCAATGACTGCAGCGTTGGGTGATACCGTCTCCTCGGGAACTTGCACATTCAGCACTGTCACCACTTAGGCATCGATGCCGAGTCCCAACAGCAATTCCTGTGGTTAGTGCGTGACTGCCTCCTCGCGCTCAAGGACAGCGGTTGGACGTGTGCAATTTCAAAGCCCCGTGCTGACGTCACTGATCTCACCTATACAAACGTCGTTTCGCAGGAGACTAGGTGACTGTACTCGTGGGTTGGTGCTGCGACTCAGTCGCCGGCATCAGGTCGTCACACTCAATAGTTGAAGATCATCGTCTTCTGGCGGAGAGGCTGATGCTAGAGTCGGCTGAGTTGGAGCAGAAACGCAAGGATCGGCTGTATCTCATCAAAGAACTTGTCTACAATCACATATCCGGTGTCAAAGACGTTCGAAAAGTAACTAATACAGAGGAATGCCGCAGCAAAAGTGAACGAGTGGCATTAGGCGGCGACCCCCAAGATCATGGAACGCTTACTCGAATACCTGGGCATTGACGTTCACACTGAGAGCTTCCTTATACGCCGTGTTAGACAGATGTTGGAGGGAGTCTATTTCACAGTGAAGCATCTGGGTGGCCTCCATTACGTTTCAGTGGACACCATAGTGGACGTTCATGCTCTTATCGTCCAGCTGGCCTTGGAAAGGGCCGAGTTCATGAAGAAAGTCTCACCTAGTGGGCTTCTGTAATCAATTGGATAACTTGATCAGTTAGTTCAGCAATTATTTCCTTATAGTTACTGCATAGAATGCGAGGCAGCGCTTGGTGATGTCATTTGCGGTGCTTGTCATGACGTATTCTGTAATGCATGTATGGTTGCTGTGCACTCAACT